GGAAGGTTGTACTGTGCGGGCTAGAAGAATGACAGGAAAAGGTTGCTAGCAGGGTGGAACAAGCTAAAGTCTGTAGTTAATGCAGCGGAGAGTTAGTCTAAGTTCTTGAGCAGCAAGGTAAACTGATGAAAAGAATTTCTGGGAAAAACAGAGAGGCAGCATTGATAATGCAGTAATCTGGGGCAAGGTGATGAAGGCCTGAATTAGTGGTGCCAGTGAGAATAAAGAGGAATGGGTGAACCTGAGAACAGTTAATAGAGTCATGTATCGGTAGGTAAAATACTGAACAGCAAAGTCACTCTCTACTAAGCAGGACATGATCTTCGCCTAACATTATGAGTCTGAATGTCAGTTTTTACTGTATGGTATTATAATTGTTGACTTTGTAGAAAGTTGAATCAAATATATCATGACTCAGGGATATAAACTAAAATTTGTTATGAGAATTAAATTCTGTCAGCTTCCTTGTCTTTGTCTCTCTTGCTTTAAAAATGGAGTATACAATGCAAGAAGAAAAAACAGTAATTCTTTGAATTAGAGGAACTCAAAGTCACACCTGCATAGTAAATTATAAAGTAATGAGATTGATCTTCATACACCACTAGGGAACTTAGTGTCTTCAATCAGGTTCCTGAATGGTGGTGCTCAAACATCATGGAGGTCCTTGGAGATTGTGTCAGTTTTCTCATTTAACAGGTTAGGAATCTACGATTCAAGCAGTTAATGTGTAGATAGTAATAGTGAAACACCGAGGTTGTACAGTTCCTGTTGTGCATTTTAAAGAGAGCCTTTTGAAATGATGGATATGTGGGAAATGAGAGGATTATTACAAAGTTTCTAGTCAGAGTTAATAAAAAAGAAGAGACTAAAGAGGTAGCCTTGATGAAAGTACTTACACACTTTAAATAGGTATCTAGTCTTTATAGTATTACAGTGATTATGGATAAAGATATCACAGTGAGTACCTGGAAAACAACAGTCAAGTCCACTGATTCTTAAACTTACTGTATTTTATATTTTGTGAATAAAATTACTTTCATTTTCACAAAAGGCTGATATGTTTTGAAGCACAGATATATGTTTGGAAAAAGGACACAAAAATTTTTACAAACACCTGTTGCTTTCAAACACACGGGTAAGGGCTAGTACACCATTAAATCTTATTAATGTTTCAGGTTTCTGTTAAGTCAGCATTCTTTTACTATATTATGGGCAGAAAGTGGATTAATATACTCAAGAAGTGACAGTCGTGGTGCTGAAAAAGATTTAAGTAAATGTTGGGTCCTTATTTAAATGTAAAATAATATACCAGCAGAGGAAGAAGATTTAGTTGACTAAATATTATGTTGGAAAAAGTCTCTGTTTCGCTTTATAATAACTAGTCCTTTTTCCTGCCTTCTCACCCAGTCACTCTTATTGCTCAATAAATATTAATTGGGGCCTAAAATTTTAACTACAAAATAAAACAAATAAAATGATTTCAGTGTTATGAAAATTGAAAACATGGGTGGTAGATCATAAGCATTCACTACCACCTTACTATTATTTTCTTGGATTATTGGGCAAGTTTGGCTTCTTTTGCTTCTTTGATTGCCACACTACATTTTGCCTCGAAGCCATCCATTTTGCAGATACTGAATTCCTTTTGAGTACTATTTTTATACAATAAAGCATCACTATACCTCTGGATCTTGATAGCATTACTGCGGGAGGAGAAAGTAGCTTCGTGTTAGTAATTACCTAACATTGTCAGAAGCTGACTGCAGGCCTCTTTCTAGTGATAACAGAATAACCACATAATGTAGCTTTATAGCACGTGATTAATAGAAAATAATTACATGTCCTACAAAGGGATGCAATATTTCTTATAAATTGACTAGAATGGTTTCCTGTAGATTAAAGGACTCTTCATTATTTTATCAGTCCTCCTGAAGTACAGTCACTGCCTATGTTAGCATTTCAATTGATGTTAAGAGCTGAATAGGTGAAGGGTACCAGATGGCAGACCTCCTTGTACCTGAGAACTGTGTTGCATAAAGATTACATGATGCTTCCTAACCTTTCAAAGATTTAGACGACAGCCTGGTATGGTTTGTCTCTTTATTTTTTGTTTGCTAAGAAGATAAGGTTTGAGAGTTTTCATTTTTGTTTTTTATATGATCCACCTGTGACTTTATAGAACAATAATTAGTTTGTGGACTGCAAAACGACAGTGTATTGGTTGCATTATTTTCCACTGTAAGTAATATATCATGCATTATCACATTTGTTTGGAGGTGGCAAAGAGCAAAGGGAAAGACAGGCAGATTTTCTTTTTCAAAAGGAAACCTTGCATGATATTGAATGTTCAGGCCAAAGTTTAGAATGCTATATTCCAAGAAGCATTTTCATTCCCATTTATAGGCTGCAAATGGTTTAATTGGGATTCATGTTGCTCAGGAGGCTCATACAGAGAATGGTAATGATGAAAGTAAAAGCTCCTGTCTTTGCAGTCTTGTCAACATACTCTCATGGCTGCAGCGTAAATCCATACATTTGCCTGCTATGTTTTTACCTCACTACATTTGATCGTAATGCATTAATTCCAAACAGGAGTAGAATTTGCAATTCCTTACAAATACAAGGTAATAAATATTCTGGTCTTTAACCATTTTTTCATTTAAATCTGATATTTTAGAGTATTTTTATGAACTGTATATTTCATATGTTTTTCAATTATTTTAAACTAAGTGAAGCATTTATTTTAGTCTAAACCTTTTTTCTCCCTAGAGTGCTACTTTTAAGGGATTTGTTTATAGGTGATTAAGCTCCTCCCTGCTGTTTACCACTATGCTTTCTATTTAATAAATCTTACTGTTCTACCATAGCACAGAATCCTCTCAAGTGTGAAGTGTGCCCTTCGTTGATGTAATTTCTTGGTAACTAATTTCTTAAATTTGGGTGTGAGTAGCTTTTTGAAAATAACATGCCTTTAGTTGATAGCATAGACTATGACCAAAGTAGAATATTATAACTTTCTGGCTTGTAACTTGAATCTAAACGTTGATCCCCAGATTGAAAGCCATTCTCTGGAAGCAAGTTTAAGCCAATAATATGTCCTCTCACAGAATGATTTCTATGTCTATCATTGGGGAGCAGGGGGCTAGTTCCTTTTCTCATTCCAAATAATCAGTTTTAAACATCTTCTATTGACACTGGGTAAGAGCTTTAACATTCAGACCTACCCTGTTAATTATCCATTTTGAAATCATACAATAGTCTGATGGTTAAATACATTTGTTTTGTTAAGCATTAGGCTCCAATTGTATTCACTGCCTTAAAAATAGAAAAGAGCAGTTTTATTAGGTACTATTAAGATACAATGGTTGCTAATCATGACTTTCAGTTAGTATTTTCTTCTAATAAACATGTCCTACAGAGATTATAGCCATCAATGGGTTCTGGGAATCAGAGTATCCTCGTTGTTTAGACAGTTTTGACCACTAAGTTCACACTATCAGTGAACTTTAAAAGTTTAAAACTTAAAATCTTGAGTTTATTGCCTCACAAGCCAGAGCTGTGCCCTCAATAGAATAAGAATTGCAGGAGTGGTCTTTTCTCCCCTCTCCCCCTCCACTTTGTTCTTCCAAAAAACCTAATCCTGATACTGCCCACTGTTTGAAAAAGTGCATATAAATTTTATCCTATAATCTCTATTGATAGATGACATATCAATTCATACACGCTAATGAAATGCTACATTTGTATTAAAGAACTGCATAATTTTCCTTTCTGATAGTCAGTAGCATGCTAATCAATACAAATGTTAAGTCTGTACCAGTATTAACATTCCCTCCCCACATATAACTCAATATGCATATGCACATTTATCTATGACTCAGATGCTGGAAAATCATAATCTATTGAATGACTTTTGGGATTGATTTTAAAAATTTATCTTACATGAAAAATTAAATTTGAGCACTACAATCCTTGTGAAGAGTATTGCTTTTGGAAGATATTATTCTTGAAACTTGTAATTCATTTTACTTTGTTTGTGTCTCACTACACATAAATAAATTTGAGACAAAAATACATTAGTCAATCTGGCAGACATGTGAGACCAGTTACGGAGTATTCACAATGCCTAAAGCAGTGGTGTATCTGTCAGAGGAGGAAAAAGGGGGAGAAAAGGAGGCATAGGTTTGCTTATCTCATGTTGCAAAGTAAATGCAGAAGTGACTCATCAATCATTGTGTTTTAGAGCTAGATTAATATTTTGGCTTTATAACTTGAGATACTTTTATTTTCTATTGATCTTCTACTGTAAGGGTGACTAACACAACCTTTATATTCCTTCTACCTATCTATCCTTTATCTAAGGTAGTTTATGATCAATAAAAGGAATAATAAATGCCTTAGGGAAACTATTTTAAAGGAATCTATTTGTGAATTATTTTTTAAGCAGTTTTTTGGTATTTTTAATGTTTCCTTATTTTCTAATTTATCTATTAAAGTGTGTATGTTAGATTTTCTTAGGAAGGGGCACACCTCTATCAACATTCTAAATAATTTTAGGTCATATAAGTTTAAGAAATAAGTAGTTTATTATAAAAAATTATTTTATCCTCTCTAGATGATAAGCTTCTTGAAGGCAAATATAGTATCTTAAGGATCCTGGCTTTAACCTTCTATAGCCCTAACGCATAAAAGGTGTACCCAAGAGCTTTGTGGAGTCTGAGTAGGCGTCCTGAGGTAGTTTCATTTTCTACGTTTTCATCATGAGTGATTGTTTCTGTGTTCTCTGCCCAGTAATAAACAGGCTTTGTGTTATACCTCAATTTAAATTGTTGCCTAACAGCATTTTACAGTGTCCAGAAACAAAAGGATGAAAATGTTTTCATTTGCAGCTCAAGCTCTTTTAACTTTATAAATAAAATAAGATTTCTAAGAAGTTGCATACAAATGACATTGTACTTACACCAGTCTAAAGGTTAATATTGCATATTGTTTTTAATTAGGAATACAATAGATATGGCTGGTGGGTAGGAGAAATGAAGGGAGTCATTGGCTTGGTGCCTAAAGCCTACATAATGGAGATGTATGATATTTGAGAGTCCTGGGTAAGTACATTTTAATCCAATATTCTGTAATAGCTCATATGTTCTCTTGGTCTCTCGTTATGAGTCTTTTGCCTTTTTAAAAGTCTTTAGAGTTTTCTGATAATACAAAGATTGTGCCCCTAAATCTTTTTTGTTTTGTTTGATCTGGTTTAATTTTTAAAACAAATTTTTTAAATAAAAACTTCATGGAATTTACTTTGGAAATAAATAGATTATTTAGAGAAAGTTCCTTTGATAGTAACCAGCTGTTTTCCCAAACTTCTTCCTCTTCAGTAAAACACCACTTTTATGGCCTTTCTGAAGGGTTGGATTGACAAAATGTTGAGTAAAAATACATTTTTCCTTGGCTAAAAGTGTAATTTTTTTAAGCAGGAAAAATCAAGTTTCAGCTGAATCAAAAAATTAAAATGCAGCGTTCCCTTTCCCCTGCAGAAAAGGAAGATTCTTCTGCTTGTCTGCAAATGCTTTGGATTTAGAAGCATCACGAAAGCACTGATGACAGCTCCTAACCCCTCTTTGTTTTGTTCAACATCACTTGTCTTTGACTGTACTTTATGCAGTCACTCATTAGAATATTCCTCTGATGTGAAATTAAATGAAGGGTATTAATGTAAATTCGATGCAAGCAGTAAAGTTATAGCTGTTGCTATTTTGCAAAGAAATAATTATAGTTTTTATTTACCCATTTGATTTGTGTGAAGAATTCATCACTATTTTATACATACCATATAGTCTACTATAGTGTAGTAGTCTACTATTGCAACTTCTGTTGTGAGTTGTAATGTTTCTTAATCATTGGACCTCAATTAGTTTTAGAGTGTAATATATAATTTCATAGCATTTTAAATTTAATATATCACACAAGTTTTTCTGGTAGGTGCTAAAGAATGTGGTTGCTAAACAAATGCTGAAGAATGTTCAAGCTTTTAGATAATTTATTGTTATTATTTATTTTCACACAATAGTAACATGTTTTTATGAAAGAAGTTTTACAGATTGGCACATGTACTTCCTATTAAATATAGCCACAAGAAAGAAAAAATGATAGAGTTGCAAATAGCAGTGTGCTGTCACCTGCCACACAAGTGCATACCAGAAGTATGATTTGTGCAAAGCATTTTACCATACAAATATCCTGGTTTGATGATGGGCCTGGCAACATTTTCTACTCGACTTTTGTTTAAATTTAATGAAACAAAAAAAATTCATAAGAACCTCCATCCTGCCACTAACGAAATGGTATAAAGAATCTCCCAGCCTGGCCAATGTGGGGAAACCCTGTCTCTACTAAAAATACAAAAAAATTAGCTGGGCTTGGTGGCGCACCTGTAGTCCCAGCCAGTCAGGAGGCTGAGGCCTAAGAATCGTTTTAACACAGGAGGCAAAGGTTGCAGTGAGCTAAGATCGCACCACTGGACTCCAGCCTGGACGACAGAGCGAGACATCTCAAAAAAAAAAAAAAAGAAAAATCTCAATGTATTCTCAAAGTAAAAAGGCATAACCAAACACACTCTTATCCTGCCTTATTCCTATGCTATTTATGTCCCATCACAGAATAGCAGATCTGAGTCTTTTCTACATATTTCTCAGAGCACTGAAAACAAAAAAAAAGTTTGGAGAGGAGAGTGTAGAAATCCCAGTGGTAGCATGTACCAACAGGTGTGTAGAAAGGTAGTGTTAGCCCAACATTATACTCTGCTGCCTGAACAAGATTTATAGAATCATATATATAATTACCTTTTCATGTATATTTGAAATCAGAGGTATTTAAAATGCCTGTGAGATAGCCTTAATATATGTCAAAAAGCATTGCTGATTGGATAATTATTTGGAATACACATAATCTCCTAATATTGAGTCATTACTTGTCAGGTATTACCTTTATGGAACTTTTCAATGTCTTTGCTTTGTGAAGATTCTAACCATGCATTTAAGCTGGTAATATTTTAAAATCTCCATTATTTACGTAAAACTGTTTACAAGCAGTGTTTGAGAAGGTCTGTTTTACCATTATCCCCTCAATATCATGATCATCCAATCTCAAATGTAAAAAGAAAAATTTGATATTAGGGATTGTGACTAAACAAATTTATATATATTGACATTGTGAAGTTAAAGTTTTCAAAAATTGCATTTGTGCAGTTGTTACTTTTTCTACACATAGTGTCATTGAAATAGACAGAAATAATCTTGGCAAAAGTTAGACAACCAAAGATGAATTTAGTGGACTGGTTTGAGCAGTTGAAAAACCAAAGCCGTTGTTTCCAATGACAGGGTAGCCTTTGTGGGTTTGGGTTTGGGTTTGTGGTTCAGGCTGAAAAGAAATTTTTATTCCTAAGCCAGTAGATGGCAGCAGCTTTTCATTGCAGACAAAAACCACTTGAAACCCCTCCCCCACGGCACAAACTCGCCGGTGATGGAAAGCGTTTAGGTTTCTGCCTCCTTTTACAGTTAATCCAGGAGAGGGAGTCCTTTGCCAACTGATGACCAACAATTCCAAGCCAGATAGTCTCGTGAACAGTGACAGTACAGAAAGAAGGTGTCATTTCTGTCCAGAACTCCTCTGGCCTTTGTTCTTTTTAAACTGGAATATGGGTGAGAGACAAAAGATAAGAAACAAAAGACTTCAAACTGGAGTGACAGGAGAAATAATCATTACTTTCCATTCATGACTGCTTTATATTCATTTGATGAAATCATTTGTATACAACTAGGGAAAAAGTTCTCTTTACACCCTTGACAATAAATACATCACACACACTTCAAAATCATAATATCATTAATATGAATTTAAACAACATGGCTTGTTAGAAAATATGCTAATTGCTATGTTCTCATTATGTTTGCTTAGCTTTTATTTGTTTTCCTATGAACAGTTAGAGAGCTAATTTTTTTCAAAGGTGATTGTAAGTCATATTTTATATAGCATTTTGCTTGATTATTTGCTCTGTACTGAATTTGTACTCTATTGCCATTAGATCTTACAATAATGTTCCACTCTGCAAATTTTTAAGGTTCAAATAAAGTTTAATTGTTTGCAAACTGTTATGATGCTAATAATTCAACAGCCTGCTGTGTTACTAATGAAATTACTTTGTTATGATTAATTTGGAAAATAGTGTGTTGATTGTAGTAATTAACCACAACAAGGTGAAGTAAATGATTCTAATGCCATCTGGCCTCCAAACTGAATGAAGAAATGAAATAGGGCTGTCATCTGAATTTATTCAAAGAAGTCAGGATAATACAAATGACTTTCGTTGCTACAGGATTTATACTTAACATAGCTCACTCCCTACTATTTTTGCCACTTTGCTGCATATGACACTTTCTTTTATGGAAAAAGAATGTTGTTTAGTCAAGCAATTGTTTTGAATACTTGATTTTATTGTAAGCTGATTATTTCTACTCTGTTCCAATTTAATTACAGATAGTTATATAAAGTATTATAGGACCATGGGAAAAAAAATCACTTTTCATCAATGTGTAGGTGAAATCTATATATGTGGGTTTTGTTTTTGTTTTAGGTTTTTTGTTTCACTTTTGCTATCAGTATATAAACACTTTGAATATAGCCTTGCACAAAGATTAGGGCTACCATGCAAATGTCCTTAAATATGTACAGTCAAAGGCTCACTTAGTTCTTGTGCTTTATACTTTTTATATAATTTTATGTAATTTCTCCACTCTACTACTTGCTAGTCATTCATTGACTGGTACTATCCAGGGTCATAATTTAAAATAGAACTGAGTTATATATTCTAGATTCAGATTTGCAGTTAGAAGAAAACTAACCCTAATATACATGTTGTTTAAGAGCTTGAACTTCACCAGTGAGACTGAAGTGAAGCATTGTAAGAATTTTTGAGTAAAGTTAGAAATTTCAGATAAATCAATTATTTGTATTTCATTTGTTGGAGTTATAGACACCCACCATATAAAGATCACTTTTACTTCTCTTAAGTAGATTCAAGAATATTGAAAAGCAATCCACATGGTAAAGAAAGAGGTAGTGGAGAGTAGAGATCAAAACATGATCAAGCCATGGAAACACTGCTTCATTCAAAGGTTGAAAGGATACTGTGTGTGTGTGTGTCTGTGTGTGTACACTATATATATACATATAAAATAAAAACATTTGATGAATATGGCCTTATCAGTAACATATTTAGTATTCAAAAATACAGAGAAACAAGTTCTATGCTGTTAAAATATTATTATACAAGTTTAATATACACTCAAATGCATAACAGTTTATCATCTGGATTGGGAACAAGGGATTTCTAGACATCTCAGCTTTAGCCAGTTTATTGTACACGTACTGCTTATAGTTGAGTTCTTCCAGAATATCTGTTAGAACCCATGATAGTATAATATTTTGTTATGAGATAAATCTTTAAAAATTATATGTGCGGGGTAGCATGGAATGATGTTTCATTAATGCTGTGTTTGAGGGACTTTTTCTTTTTCTGCTAGTAGAATCTGTTCTACCATTACTTATATATAAACATATTATTTATTGCCAGCATGGCACAAAGTACATAGTGTAGATCCAATAAATATTTGTTAATTAACTGATTTGGCACCCCACAATATCTCAAGACCTGATATTTGAGAAGAAAAGAGCTTGACTGCTAAACCTGATAGGGAAAATGCCTTTATACAGTTAGTATATCCCATAATACCATCAATGAGTAGATTGGATTTTCTCATTGTAACAGAAGTAGTGAGATTGTGAATAATAAGAAGGTTGAGCTGTGGTAGATAGTCCTTAGATGTTTCCTTCCTTTCTTTCCTTGTGTTCAGTGTTGTGACCTCAAATAAGGGGCACAGGTGCCTTGGGCAGCTTGGGGCAACTGATCTACTTTCACTTTCCAGTGAAACATCCCAAATCACTGTTGCCCTGCATTCTACTTGGGTAATATCTGAGAAGCCTTTCCTGTATCCGATTATGAAAGCATTCTAGCTGTCGCCTTGGACAGATCAAAAATTTCTGCAAGTAAATGAGAAGTTTCATAGTCACTGCTAAATCTAATCATAATTTAGCTTTCCTCCTTTTTGTTAACTTGTAGTCCCTATTTATTTAAAGTTGTATGATTATGTTAACTTAAGTGCTTTGAGTCCCTAAGATGAAAACCATAAATGCAGAAACTTGCCTTAGGCAGAGCACTGCTCAGTTTAGGTGTGCAGTGTTGAGAAAAAGGGGCTGGAAGTTGATAAAGCCAAAGCACTTGAGTATTTGCAAAGGTGTAAATACAGAAAATGCTCCCGAAGCCTAACTCTTAAGTGCCTTTCTTAATGCTGGAACTTTGGAAGGTGTTTCCCTAGGTTTCTCTCTTTTTTTTTTTTTTTCAGTTTTCTTTTTTATTATCTATTACTCGGAGAGGTAATATAGCACAGCACTTGTCTGTCTTCTGTTTATTGGCTCCAACTTTGTAATATGAAAATATCACTCCTGCTAGAGTAAAAGCAGGTGCCATTTTGTAGCTTGAACTGCAATTTACTTCTTGTTTGAGGAAAATGTCACATAGGTACTCTCAAAGGAGAAAATTAATGACACTAGTGTATGCTGGTTAAAGACAACTGCTTTAGCGGAAGAGAAAATTCCCACAAAATAAGCAGATTTTTATACACTACCCTCCCTTCCTAGCCCCCATGGAGTCTATTTAGAAAATCCCGTGTCCTTTATCATGTCAAATGTGATGATACCAATTTAACTAAGACTAGTAATAGTAATAGATAACATTTACTGAGTGTTTGCTATTTGTCATGCTGTTCACTTTTCATTCAATTCTTATGACAACCCTATGAGGTAAGTTCTGTTTTTCATTACCATTTTCCCGATTAGGAATCAGGCCAAGTAATTTGTCCCCAAAGCCTTAGGCCAGTGAGTTTCCTAACCAAGCCTCACACCAGCCTCTTTCTATTCTGCTGTGCAGTACTGTGATGAAATAAAACTAAATACTTCAATTCTTTATATATAATAGGCATACAACAAATGCTTGTTGACCACTGATGATGCCACCATTTCTATAAAATAATCTGAAGCATGTGAAAAGAATCATCCAATAACTGACAATTGGAAACTGATTTTGGCTGATTTAGTCAGTAAAGCATACCAAATGATCATATCAGATCCAAAGCAGCTGATCTACAATGGAGACCAAACTTTTATGCAGGAACACTTGACCTTCCAGTCCAGATGAAAATAGGGAGTCAATCAAAGCAGCAGAGTCCAGAGAGGACACCAGGCCAAAGTGACCCTTCCAAGGACCTTTTCCTATCCTCTCTACCTCCTTCACTGTGAAGCCCACTAAACTGACCAGCCAGGGGAACCTTGAAGAGGACTGTAAATCCAGCTGCTTCTGTCTCAAATAGTTGTTTTTTCGGGGATGGTTTTAAATGATAGGTTTTAAAAAATGGTTTAAAGGATTATTAACAGACTGTACAGTCAATAAACTTCATTGTCAAACGTGTATAATTTTGTGACTGAGTGATGGCAATGTCTGACATGACTTACTTGTTGAGATATGAATTTGTTTAAGAAGAAATTTTTAATTGGAATATCTGATACATAAGTACAAGGTCTTATTCCTTGGACACTCAAGTAATACCTTGTACTGGGCCTCATAAAGACTTTTATTGTGTTTTTTGAAGACTTTTTAAACATTTTTGTACTTCAGTGATTGGAGGCCGTCTCCTCCTCCTCCTCCAGTACCCTATAGTACTGTCTTACAGCCCAAGAGAAAGGGGTGTGCCAAAGTTCCATTTGCAAGGGGTATTTCATTCTGTAGAGTTCTTTGAAATGTTTCCATGCCTACTACTCAGAACATCATACTTCTGAAGGACAAGGAGAGAATAACTGCACTGTCCTAATCTCCAGCTGCTCACCAAGTAGATCTCAGTGGTGTAAAATAACCTGTCCCATCTGGGGTACGCTACTAACTCCTAAGTCAAGCACTGGTGGTCTGTAAAGTCTCTATGCTCCCTGCTTTCATCTCCTTGCGCCACTTTCCTCCTCCTCGCCCCCCCTTCCCCTCCTCCCCCTCCCTCCTCCTCCTCCTCCAGGTTTTCCAAGGATCCTGAGTCATATGAGTCATAAGCTGTTAGGATTCTTATCGCTCTACAGAGTTCATAATGTCAGGTGTGCCCTCTGCTTTCTGGGAACCCAGCAAAAACAAGGTGTGTAACTGTGTTTATCCTGTTATAAGCATCCTGAATTGAAAACTGAAATGGAACAATCTTGTGAGTGTGTGTTATCTCTCTGTTGCTTTGCTCCAGTTGGTCAGCATATTTGCTTTATTCTTTATTATTATCTCAGGGCTTGCTATTTTTCTTCCTCTCTAATTAAGTGATTCCATTTTGAATAAATTACATTTAAGTGCCATCCTGTGCAAGGGATATTTCAAACAGAATTTGACATAGTCTTCCCCAAGTAGATTCATGGTCTAAATAAGACAGACAGGATGTAAACACAGGGAAGGATAAGGACAGCCCCACATAACCTTACCTTGGTACAGTTATTAGCAGGTTAAGCCACTAGCAGTGTCCTAAGACATAAAAGGTTCTCTGATTTTGTAACATCTGAACCTTAGGGATTAACTAGGAAACAAACTGGGAATCTTTTCTCGTGTATATATTTTTAAAATAAACAGGGAGGGAATGCAGTTTCAGTACAGTTTCAGTACTGTTTCAGATGAGATATTTATTTTTTGTAAAAATTCCAAAATGCTTGTAGCTATTGAATTAAGTGTGAGGGGAAGCAAAGAGCTGTGTATATGAATAATGTGAACATCTTTTACAGAGTTGCTACCAGTTACGGTAACATAACTCTGGAAGCTGAGAGTGACCTCTACCCCTTTAGGAATAAGGACTCTTTTCCTTAAGTGGGGACAGAGTTGTAACCAGCAGTATTCTCCTGAAGGTGAGCGGAAGTAAGAACATTGGAACTGGAGTCAACCAAAATTCTAGTTTCACTCTCTAGTGCCTTGTGCCCTAGAGCAGGTTTCCTTGCCTGCAGAATACCAGTGGTGCCTGTTCTCCCTGCTTCACAGGATTGTTGTTAGGCTCAAGTGAAATTATGTTTAGAAGTGACCCAGGATATCAACAATAGTGTCAAACATGGCTTTCCTGCATTTAAAGATATGACAACTGAAATGAAACAATGATCGAATAATTTCTCCACACCAAAAGCAAGCAAGGGAAAAAAATTTTAACACTCAGCATTGGCTGTAATACTACTTGAAATCATATTAAATCTGGATATTATTATTTTATAACGAAAATTGACCTATTATCCTAGAGGAGTTTGGGATTCGATTCTTCTTTAATTTTCAATGCATTTTAAACTAAGTCACTGGCTTCCAAGCTATGGTCGATTTCTGTTAATGGTAATTTTAATCACAGAGATGTTACTTCTGTCTATAAAGTTTCTAAATGAACTTTTCTCACCATATTTAAAACCACCAATCTGCTTTAGGTATATGTTGTTTGTAGCTGGTTAGATTTAGCAGAGAATTAATTTTTTTTAACTGAAATCCTAAGGAAAATTTTTGTACTGATTTCCTTTGCCCATTATCTAATTCTTTTATTAACTGTTTCTTCCAGATGGGTATCTATGAATGTCTGAGTGTGAATACACACTTTCTAGTTAAACATTTTATTCAGATGCATATCTAAGAGTGACACAATTTTATTTTCTCTAATTAGCCTTGTAAGATAGCACTAATCTTGGTTTGTAGTTTGTGAAAATATGGGGCTAGAAATAAGGGCAAACCAGAACCTCATTACAAGTAACCCTAATGCTTTAATGTTATAACTTTAGGCAAAGCTAATAAAAGATGCAAAGGACTCTTAAATAATTTAAATTATCTAAAAAATTGAGCATATTCCTTCAAATAATAATGGCTTTCATGATCTGATTTTTTAAAAATTCATTTCTCATGTCTTGAATTACTCAGAAGATATCAAAGTAAGTTTCAGTTTATTTAAGATTATTAAATATATTTATTATCATGCAGAGACACTGAAGATTCCCTTTTCTAGCATAGCAATTGTAATCTTTAGTGTGATGTGGTACATAATTCTGATAACATATCTGATGTCATGATTGTAAAGTTAATTCATAGCACTTCTCTTTAAAATGGTACTTTGTGATGTGATTCCTTGATTATTTTGAACCATTAATCAATTCTATCAGCTTGAAAAATAGATATATTGTGTACCTGTTATTACTGCTTTCTGAAATCAAAGCTTCTCTTATTATCTTAACCTTACCAATTTAAACTAGGAAACTATTACTTTTATAATGTATTTATATTATCATTACATAATCTTTGATAAAGGAAAACAGTGAATCTATCCTAAATTGTGGCAACTGTGTTAAAGATAAGTCTGTTTTCTAAACTTTTCCTAAATGATTATAGTAGAGAATTTCAATTTATAAGCATACCATCCTTTGCTCCTCCTAAAGCTGTGGTTTATAGCAATGAATACTCTATATTGATTACTGTTTAATTCTAATGGACACACTGAGGCTGGAAACACAGCTTAGCATTTAGTGCCTTAATTTTTAAAGTTTTAAAATTTTAAAAATTGACATAATTGCCTGAGTGTTCTATTATTGGACCCATTTCATGCTATAAGATTATTCTCATTTCACATCTTTCCTAAAGATTATTTTGTTCACAATGTATTTTTTCTGACACTTCATTGCTATTTTTGCATAACTGAAAATCTGTCATTTTCATTTTAGCTCAGTTTGGAAACATGAAAACCATATCAAAGCAATATATTAAGATTAGTTAGAAACACACAGAGAAATGAAAGTGAGCCATGTAGATATTTTAAATTTAGTCAAATTATTCAAGTGTGCAATTTTAATCCATTAATCTGGTTTGAGGCTGCTTAAGAGAAATATTTCTCCTGAATTTTTTCTCTTAAGCAAAAAGAGCATGTTGAGAAGAGAAGCATCTCATCTAAAACAATTACCATGGGGTTTTTTGTTTTTTGAAGCAAAAGATAAAGCAAGAGCCGACCTAATATTCTGCCATAATTTATTCTTAGTTAAAAACAGATTACCATTTACACACTAGGTATTAAAAGCTAGTTATAGTGATTAAAGGTTGTCTTTCTAATGCTGTGTATTAAGATATCCAATACAAAATTTATTTTCAAGCTATTTTGGGGGAATTCTGTGTTTTACTTCATTATTTGTAAATATATATATGTATAAATATATATTTAAGACTATACACACACACACACACACACACACACACAACTGGGAAGGGGAGAATGGGAGCTGGTTGTTTCTTTGAATTCTAATACAGTATGTCTTCTTAATGAACCTGCCGCATTGCCCAAAAACAGCTCCCTGCAAATAAACGTGCTAGAAGTGATTTAGCCACAATGTCCAGACTGTGTAAACATCTAATTATTACAATAAAATTGTCAATAAATTTACATTACTGCTCCCTTTTCAAACGTTAACCAACTTTTTCTTCACTTGATAAAAGGGCATAAATTGTATTTTTATGTGTTGGCGTTTTTGTTTTCATCACACTTCTTGCTGCACTCTAGACAAAAGACCTCAAGCCTTAATGCCCTGAGTTATTCCTGGGTGAAGAAACTCCTACAGTTGTTTATTAATGTAATGTGCTGTGTTCCTCTCACAGTGAGATGGACGTGGAGCCCTCACAATCTGATCTTTAGTCACGGCATTTTTTAAAAAGCCATAAAGCCAGTAGTATTGTAGTCACTGCAGCTTTAAGAGAGACACAAAGAATTAAGGCCCTTATAATCCACTATTAGAATGGGAATTTAAGTTACATTAGACGCAAAAGATAAAATGGTGAAATGCAATAATTTCCTTTAATAAAGATTACGTCCAGTTTTCAGAATTATGATATCATGTTGAACATTATTGTGGAGTAAGCCCCCCAACACACGAATTTCTTATATAAGTGGTACATTAACATTAGAAAAGCAGAGTGATACTGAATTCTAATGAGGTCTGGCCTATATGCTCTGCTAGGAGAAGAATGAGGATAATTCATTTGTATTCTACAAAGCACTTGGAAATCCACGCGCATCCCTGTGGCTTCAGCACGTGGTGCTGATCATCTGTTCCTACTTGGAGTTGCGGGGCTGGGGGTGGGGGCGAGGGCGGTATTCATTGCTTGGAACAGCATCTGAGCTGGGGAAAACAGTTAACCACTTTCTTGCTAGCTGTTGTTTCCTAATGACTATTTAATACGGTTGCTCTATCTATGCATTGGCTTTACCTATTCTCTTCAAGAACCTTAAAAATTGTGATGCCTGTGTTGGTGAGTGGTGACAGTGCACCTCTGTAGAAGGCAAACAAAGAAAACGAAGTGAAATTCAGTAGGGCAAATGTGTTTTCACCATCCTCAGTAAACATGTCGGTTTTAAGTAAACAATCGGATGACAGTGAGGGATTTGTTCATTAAAAAAAAAAATTCTGAAAAATGCTCCATTTGATCTGATACTGGCTGTTCAGGAAAAACTGCATTCATTTGTGAGTCTTGCTGACATTCTGAGAAAACAGCCCATTTTGGAAACTTATATTTAGTAAAACCAAGGAATGAAAGATTTTAGCAAATTGCCACGTAAAATGATCTGCACAAAAAGGCATTGGGGAAGTGAGCTAAGGCCTGTGCCAAACAGATGGCACCCCCTGCTGTGTTTTTGATTGAAAAAGAAAGGTAACATTTGCAGCCCCGTCAAAGAGACAGTGATCAGCTAAACAAATTGGTCTCCAAAGTACCCCATCGCTGGAGCAAACCCCGCTGCAGGGTACAAGGGAGGCTGTATTTCAAAATAATGCTATATTTGCGTCTTTCCTAAATGAGGGGATATGTCCTCTTTTCATGCGGCAAAGAAGATGAGCTCTTTGTTGAAGTCCACTGCAGTATTATCTGCAGAATAAGCAACAGACCTCAGTAGCACAAGTACCCATTTTCTCCGATCACCACCAAATGCCCACAAATAATATTTGGGAAGACCCCAGTAGCTTTCTATATGTTGTTCACTTTCCTGTGTCAGGTCTCCAGAGCTTACGGAGAGGAAATTGGTATGCAGCATTACAAACAAAAACAACACTAAATCATCACAAAGGCACAGTCTGAGGAGGCGAAAGAAAGAGGAGGAGATCAGGAAAAACTCTCCTTGCACTTGAATTCAATTGCAAAATACAAACATCAAAAATGGCAAAGAGCGTGTCAGTGTGCAAGTGGGAGGGGGTGATTTTTTTTCTTTGGCTCATCTCAGCTGGCAGCCTTATTCTGCTTCAGTAAAGACAAGGTACAGAAATGTCCTTTGGGTGACATTCAAAACTCGATATAAATCCTCTGCTTTATGAGACTGCAGTGCAATAA